AAGTATATTGCAATGTGCACCACTATTTTGCACTTAAACATCTTACTATATATCTCGGCATCTACTATTGCAACAAGCATTCATATATTGCGCTTAAATTCTGTGTGTATATTCCGATATTTACTATTGCCTCTTTGCCTTCCAAGCAGTCACAGACGTGGTTGGGCTCTGATAACAATTCGTCGTGCACTCTAGATCTGGATCAGCCTGACGGTTATAGTGAGAGTGGGTCATTGCAGGGTGTGGGTGTGTCAGATGTTACGAATGTTGTTGTACTCCACCCCACGAACCGAGACGTCATGCTGCATTTGGACCTGCACCCTGAGACTGCTGGCATCGCTTCAGGTATGAGAGGTGCTGAAAATATGGGTCATTAATTGCCGTCATTGTAGTGAGGATAGGAAGAGCTTTCACAGAAAGTCGGCCTGTGGTGTTTGTGCCTGTGTTGGATGTATCGATGGTCGTCGTACTCCAACCCACCAACCGATATGCCATTCTGCATTTGGACCTTCATCCTGATAGTGCTACAATTGAGTATGCGTATTGACAGGTGTGGTGTGCTACAACCGAATTTGCGTATTGCCTTTCCTGTGTGTAGTGTGATATTATCGAGTATACGTACTGCCTGTGTGTAGTTTCGCAATGATTGTCTAGCTCAGTTATGTATACGTTTGGCTGATTTTCTGTGAAGCTTATTGATGGCACGTTCTAGTTGTACGGCAAAACTTGCCTCAACTGTAAGCTAGAGGTAGCCACTAGCTAAATTGACTCAGATTGCTTTATATATATATATAAAGTATTCAATGCACGCTGTCCGACGTTGGTGCGCATGTCATTGTATAGCTATAAACTACTTCTCTCATCTGACTTACTATCCAGCTTACCAGTGTAGCTCCACGTCAGATTACAGCAATTACATGGCCCGTTTCCCATGTCCTCAATATATAATATATCCATCCCTCTGCAGAAGCATGCCACCCCGAGTTACTGTTGCACACACGCGAGAACGAAATGTGCGACGAGAAGATGGCGCTACGACTGGAGGCCATTGACGAACTCGCCGCCGCAGTTGTGAATTCAATGTGTACCTATGTGTGGTCGCAGATGATGTAGGCCAGCAGACAAATGGCAATAAAGTTTTTTACATTTAGCGTACATGCGGTGAGGCGTAGACCTGCTGTTCGGTACCAATAATTGTTCGAAGGTTTCGCATACGGGTGATACGATGTAGGCTATCAGTTTGACTTCAGTAAAATTCTTTCCGTACTTGATAAAATTTATTGTACTGTGGCTCCCTCTTACCTGAACCATATAACCGACGTAGTGCATTGTTTTAGAATGTTGATGACATATCGAAAGCACTCAAATTAGGTCGAAAGATAACTACAATACTCCCATAACCCCTGGCTCTAAAATTTGCTCACGAAATGAGTCAAGCACCATGTAGTAGTATAAGCTCCGGTGTAGATCAGTTGAAGGATTTGAAAGGATCAACAAGCTGAACCCACGTTATCTGCTACTAATCAAACTCCGCTCACTATCACACCGTGCACACACAGTATGGTACAGTGCTTTGCGGACCAGTGAGTGGTATGTCTGTGTCCATCAGTCGTACGACTAGCATGATTAGAAATCCCGTCTAGAACAGTCAAGAAGACCCCGGCAAGCGGCACACACTTCCGGTTTTCTTCTATTCGTGGCACTTGGCTTCAGTAGTATGTTTAACTACATGCACGGTTGACGGATCATACGCTTTAGCGACGTGTTGCAGGTCACATGCAAGCCACCTGCAATGGATAAATATAAACCGTAGTCCCAGAAAAACAACTTCTATCACGTCCCTGGTGGTTATATCGCACAGGAGGTTTATGTTGTACCTTGTGTTATTCTGCTCCGGAAGGCACATTGTGGAGTGAGTGAGCTAAACTTGGCTACGTATCAAGTAGCATGCCCTAGTGCTGAGGCATCTACGTGGAGGTATACTGGATTGCCATTTTTATCATCCATACGAATTAATCAGCCCATCATTCAGCATAATACTCCTATAGCATCTGTTTGACATTTAGCATCTGCATGATGTTATTGTTCACCTGAGTAAGCGAGTACAATCTTGGGTTCATCATCAGATACTTTATATCACGTCCTTCTAACTCTGTCACCTCTGTAGACAGGTGTAATCGTAGTCCATCACAAAAGTACTTTATATCACGTCCTTCTGACTGTCACCTCTGTAGACAAGTACAATCGTAGTCCATCACAGAAGTACTTTATATCACATCGTTCAGACTCTTTCACCTCTGTAGGCGAGTCTCCATAATCCAACGCCTCAACGGTCCGCCCGGTATGACCTTCCGCGCGAACAGAAATGTGTCAGACATTCGAGACAGTTGGTCGCTGGCTGTGAGCAAATTCGGATGAGCGCTCGGGGGCCATCCCCAATCGACAAACATCAGCTCGAAGGGTCGTGTTTTGTGCTTGAAGTACGAGTTGTACAAGATCGTCTGTATAGCAGTAGGAGAGGTTAGTAGGTCAATAGTTGTACAAGATCGTCTGTATACCAGCAGGAGAGGTTAGTAGGTGTATAGTTGTACAAGATCGTCTGTATAACAGTAGGAGGGGTTAGTAGGTGAATAGTTGTACAAGATCGTCTGTATAACAGTAGGAGAGGTTAGTAGGTGTATAGTTGTACAAAATCGTCTGTATAACAGTGGGAGAGGTTAGTAGGTGTATAGTTGCACAAGATCGTCTGTATAACATAGTTGTGCATAGACGAAATATTCCTCGGAGTAAGTATGACGTAGCGAGTGGCCGTATCGTAAGGCGAGAATTTGGGAGTGTGTGATTCTGGCATAGCTCCAATAAAATATCATACACGTGCTAAGTCGAAGCAGACCGGGACGCAGGATTTACATGTATATTTGCAACTCTATATTTAGACGCGTTCAGGACAAGAATTGCTCATCGCAGTGCTATCAATCATATGCACCGCGTGCACATATCCTATAGAAGAGCAATTCTGCGCACACATACTAGCTGTGATACTCAAACAAAACGCAACAATCCATGCATCTTAATGTAGGTAAGCATAGACATATTCTAGCCCCTGCACAAGCTACCGTACACGTACATGGACAAACCAGCACCTGCTTGTAGTACTCGTCGATGCAACATTCGACACTGTGGTTGTACCAGTCCGATACGCTGTAGTCGACTAGATACCGTGTAAAGTCCAATGACAGCGCCATCCATTGACTCCCTTTGAACAGCGGTAGGTCGTCGGGAGAGCCGTGCACCTTTCGGCAACGCTTGTCGAGGCACTCGTAGCCCTCCCATCTATTTTCTGAATTCGGATGGGGTGATTGGAGGATAACAATTGACTGTCAGTCACCAGAACACCACCCCAAGCATCATAGGGGTCTGCGATGGTGGAACTTGTAGTGTGTATTGGGTTTTAGTACGCGTGAGGGCTCGTGGGACTGTAAGCACGGAACGTTAATACAGAAATCGCCTACTGTTGAAGTACTTTGTCTGAACACCTACACGATAAGAGGTGGGAAATATGGGACGATCAATGCACAACTATCTCGATTGCCAGCAGTGACAGTGGGTGTACAATCGATTGCGTAATACGAATGTCGGCGAGCTTTGATGTCGGTTGACAGGCACATGTGCACACGACAGAACATTCTACTCGTCACACCCCATGCAATAGTATAAATGGACAATAAACACAGTCACAGCGCATACGTTCACGATCAAACGGGTCCACTCTCCGAGCATCTGAGAACGTTAATCCCTTGTTCTGGGCTACCAAGCGAGCGATCTGTAGCTGTGAAAGGTTAGATAAAAAGATGTTGTCGGGAAAATGAGTCCCATGAATTGTGTTGACGCACTGTCTGTGTAATGTGCTTTACAAGCCGATCGTAACTCCTTAGTGAATTGGGTGGGTGCACTGATGATGGTCACAATGGCCGATGCGGGCAATAAATACGAAATAGTAAGACCGACGTGACAACACTTGACATTATTGTATATGAATTCTAATACACACGGCATTGCAGTCGATGATACGCTTGCGTATTCTCACTAGAAACATCCTAAAACCCGATGATGTATAGGTCAGGTCTATAGACAGTATCAGCACAACACGCACGAGTCGGGAATTCATGAAAGGCTTCGGAACATACGCATACATATACTTGTCAGTCCATTTATCATGTAGTAAACTCGTACGTTTTAATATGCACGTTGACGCCCGACGACACAGAGCATACCGGAGATTTGACGGGGAATGCGTTGCCACATAGCGTTATACACAAGTCCCAGCCTCCAATATCGACAGCATACTGTTTCGATGATAAAATTATACGTTAATTTTCAAACGAGATGGGGAACACGAGGTACTAGACAGACACAAGCCATACTTTCACTCGATTAGACAATATGTAGGTATTAATGCACTTTATTAAAGGCGGACATCCAGAAGTACTGTGCCTTTGGAATACTTTACGAAAGTTATCAGGTTACAAGCAAAGATTTCATCATTTCGATCACAGAAACATCACTTTGCCTTTCATATAGCTACCCTTGTACGATCAATCTAAAGTAATGGTATAGGATCCTAGATTAGCGATCCTTAATTCACAGACCCTTGACCTTCAGTTCCGTGTAGTGTCCTAATGCCAGGTACACGCAGACATTGACAATTGGGACGCTCACAAACACGCCCACCTTGTACAACAAGCGCTCGGCGGTCATGATGGATGACGCGCCCCACTGCACGGATACATTCGACAGTACATGTATGTTGCTGACATCCTGAGTTGCAAGCAAGAACATTTGAGTGTGTTAGGTATATTCTGTATGAAAAACACTGATCAGGACAGATACACCGCACAATGTCCGCGTGGGTAGTTATGTGGCTCGAGTTTAGGTTTGCGTATGGATAATAAAAAACCTCAACTGCGACCAGGTCGAAGTATTATGATCATGTCAATATTGTAGTTTTAGGGTTTGAGTGCTGGACTACAAACTTAAACTGCTGACAGATGGTGATACTATTGATTTGAAATTGTTTATTTTGATACGTCAAATGGGCAACAAACTTTCATAGGCAAACTCGTACGTTTTGCTCTAAAATTGTTTGGTACGAACACGCGAGGCAAATGCTTACATAGCGCCATTCAGGACAGTTAGATACGTTCAAGGTCTGTGCTAGATACGTGAGTGAATACTGTGCCAATTTTTTTCGGTGGCGTTAACGAGAGCCTTTGAAACGACGAGCACTCATAGCACAACAAGCACACCGCCCAACTACGCAGCCCAGCTTACCTCATAATATTGTGTTACAAAGTCCACAAAGTTTCGGGGGGTGTCAGCATCTACATGGACCACAAAGAGATGCTTAGTTTCATACACAATGTCCAGTGTTTCTTGCATGCCCAGGAGGGTCATGGCATCGTGTATCATGATTACGTAGGCCAGGCGCACCTTGTCTTCTGGACTGCCCACTGCGGGGTACGAGACAGCGCCGTGTAGCTGAGGAAGGGCATGGCATAAGGACAGTGCATCAAAGTTATGACTAGCCGATAGCATTGTGAAGTGCACAGCTAGAGATTGGCAAACGCATTACCATATAGAAACAAGCACAGACCGCACAGTGTTCAAGCCAAATCAGTAGGGATGTGGAGTGCGTCTCCAGTTTGGAGTCTGACCACGTAATGCTGGTGTCCTTAAATAACAGTCGTCACCGTCATGAGAATAGTTTGTATCACATATGAGGAAACATAAACGTATGCCCGCGACTTGAATTTGCGTCAGCGCAGACAATATCAGACACTTGAACACACGTTCGATATGGGCCGCATAAAAGACAGGCAGTGCAACACGCGACCTAGTACGGTAGAATATCACATTATACGCAAGGAACATTTTGGCAGTTGCATTCAGTATAAATGCCGAGTGATCATGCTGGCTGTTCAAGCATACACATCGGGTGGTTGCTGACAATCTGCGATACCTTGCCAAAGTGCGAAATCTTATAGTGCCCCACATCTCTTTCAGATCCATTATTCGCATAAACCCTTGCAGACCCCGTAGCAGTCAGATCTCTTCCTTATATTGATGGAAATCGAGGCATTTTTCCGTTAAGGTCAATCACAATCATTAAGTCCCCCAGTAGCAATATACATCGGCTGCTTCGAGTAAGGATACGTACATTACGGATTACCCATTATTTGAACAACTAAAATTCGTATACAAATAGTCTGTGAGTAGAGAGCAGTTCTCACACAGAAACTATA